CTGTCTCCAAAAAAATTCAAAAAAGAAAAGATGAGTTCCCAAAATAATGGTGATGATAATGATGAACTTATTAGAGTGAGAAGCACATGTTCACATATTTTATATTATTAGAATGAGTACATTATCATATATTTTATATTATTACAGTGAGCATGTGATCTTATATTTTATTATTATAGTGAAAATCACGATCACATATTTTATATTATTATGGTGAAAATGAAATCACATATATTATTACAGTGAGGATGTGATCACATATTTTATATTATTAGAGTAATATGAAAAATAAAAGACCCTGAATTTTTATACCTCCAAGCCTCAAATACTACTTTTCCATGAACTAAACACAAAAATCATGTCTACAAACCTATGTAGGTCCAGGAGATGGGCAAGTAGCATAGACTTGGTCTAATGAACATATGCTTTAGCAGAAAGGTAGGGGAGTGTAACCATGACTTTAGTGAAGTTGAGCCTGAGGGTGGACTGTCTGAAAAGGCTACCTAATCCCAATGCATAGACCACAACTCAGAAATAGGAAACATGCAAAAGCAAGCCAATATGGTTCCATCAAAAGCTCCTAAGTGCTTAAAAAATGCAAGCCCAATGCACTGAAAAAGTTGAAAAGCTAAACATGAAAATTTACCAGAGACAGTAAAGAAAACCTTTAAGCAGGACCACAAGTTTTAAGACCCCTGAGATGTAATGAAGGGCTGAACCTATCAATCTGTTGAGTAGAAGAGCCTGAGACTTGAGTAAAGTCATAGAAAATCTATTAGATGAAATTACAGCAAAGAAGTCCCCAAACCTTGGAAGGGATTGGAACATGTTAGTGCTGGAGGCATTTAGAGTCAGTTAACAGATGTGACCAGAGATGCATACCTCCACAACACATAGTGGCTAAAACGCTGAAGACTACTAACAAAGAAGAATATGAAAAGTCACAAGAGAAAGACGCCAGTGTTCTCACAAACTCTGCAAAGTGACTTTAGACCTCTCAGACGAGAACCAAAAGCCAGAAAGGCCTGTGCAGGCGTTACTGTTTTTATCACCACAATTAAATAATTACCTGACAACAGCAACTCAGGGAAGGGAGGGTTTCTTTCCATCCACAGTCTGGGGTGCAACATCTCAGTGGATATGGGGGTGCAACATCTCAGTGGATACACCATGGTGGCCGCTGGTTGCACTGTGTCCTCTGTCAGGAAACAGACGAATGCTTGTGCTCACCTCACTTTTTCCTTCTTATTCAACCTGTCACTTGCCATGGAATGATGATGCTGACATTTAGGGTGGGTCTTCCCTCTTCAATTAGCCTAATCCAGAAAATTCTTCATGGATATGCCCAGAGATTTGTCTCCAAGGTGATTCTGGATCCCATCAATTTGATGATACAAAACATCACAGAATATAATGTCTTCTAAGCTGGGACAGCAAATGTCTGACAAGTTTGATTACTACACCACACAAAATTATCTTTAAAAATCAGTAACTAAAGTTTTAGAAAAAAAGGAAGACAGTTCTAATTTATATTGCGTCAAATGAAAGAAACAATAAAGATGAGGGCAGAAATTGATGGGGCCTGAAAGAATAATACAGTCAACAGAACAAAGATCAGTTCCTTGAGGACTTAAATGTGCTTGGTAAGTCATTACCCAGACTAAAGAGAGAACCAAATTAATAAAATGGGAAATTGATGATATAAGTACATCAAATACAGCACTCATGTATTAAATTCTCAAAAAAATATTTTTACTTAACAAGACAATATTGCAACACACGAGAATGAGACTTAAAATATCATTATGGAATATATTTTTAAATTTATATTACAATAAATTGGGACATCTAGGAGAAATGGGTGTTTTCTAGACATAGAGCTCCAAAGCTACACTAAAATCAGATTTAAAAATGATATACCCATCCATAGTCAGCAAAGAGATTGAAGCAATATAAAAGAATAAAAGTTAAAAAAATCTATCAGGACCCAGTAAACTCACTACTAACTCCTATGACTTTTTATTTTAGCAAAAACCAAACACCCAGTGCTTCTTAATTTCATAAAACAGAGAGAGGAAGGAAGCTTTGAAACTCGTTCTATGAAACCGGTATTAACCTGGCACCCAGGTTAGATAAGCACACAACCATGAACAAAGGGAAAACATCCTCAAACCAACCAGAATGTGACAACATATTTTTAAAAATCATACACTGTGATCAAGTTCACTTTAGTTCAGAGATGCAAGCATGGTCCAATAGGACCAAATGAATACATGAAATAGAGTATAGGAACTGAATAAAAATTGAAGAATTAAACTATCATCTTGGCACAGAAAAGGCTTTTTACAGAACAATACTGTTCTTGAGCTGAAAAGCTTTAAGTCCCTTGATCACCCCACTCAGATCTATGGCATTTCCTTCAATCCACAGAGACTTAGTGTTGCTGGCAGGTGTAGATTGACACAATTTTATACACATGTTATATCATATTTTATATTGTATAGGAAATTTGAAACTGCACAGTATAGATGAGCAAAAATAGATGTACTTTTGATTTTATTGAACTGATTCTTTCTGGTTTTGCTTGAGGAATCTGAAGGTGTTCAGTTAATCTAGTATTGTTACAAGAAACCAAGCTCTTGAGAAACCAGGCAGTGTACAAAATCAGAAGACTCAGTTGATTTACGCTAGCTGACCCAGCTGAGCTAGTGCCCTAAAGAGACTGGGTAGTGAGTCACAGATTCACACAGCAGCCGTAGAATTTCAGCACTGGTTATTTTAACTGGTACAGCAGTTTTGGATTCAAACTTCTGTGATCTGTAAGGCCATCTGTAGGTGGCCTTGTAGTCTCATGGTCACCAAGGGGAGATTCTCTGGGGGAAGCATGTTTACAGAAGCAGAACTGATGAGGTTTAAGAACATCTGCAATGGTCCATGAATAGCATCACCCAGGAATAAATGCCAACAAACCCAGTATTTGGATCAACTCAGTGCTGGCAACCATCCTGCAGTGAATTTATGACGGCAACAGCTATGTCATGTTCAGAAGATAAATTTCACAGTCCTCCCCACATCATCTGGCCATACAGTCTTTCTACCTCCTCTTTCCTGATGTCCCTGGAGACTTGGAAGGAGGAGGAAACACTTAACAGTCAATTACTCTCAGAATCTTGAACAGCCACAAGTTTTTACATTCAACACCATTCACTACAAAATAAGCTTCTTTGATCAGGGCTGAAAGTAACATTTCTCTTTGGATATAAACACTAATATTAAGAAGGCAGTTTGACATCATCTCCATTTAGCAAAGCAACAGTTCCCCTGCCAGGGCCAATGATTTCCCAGGCACAGACTTTTGATCAGGTATACAGTACCAGGCATGAGTTCTCTCCTATGGAGCAAGCCTCAAATCGAAACAGAGAGTTGGTGGTTGCCTCTGGTTCACTTCTGTACTAGTGGACACATCTTTCCTGGAAGATCAGTATTGCAACATGCAATGAGCACACATAGATGTTTCCTCTTGTGAGTTGTTTTTCCTAAGCACTTTTTTGGTAATATGAAAGTTAACCAGTAGGGAGAAAATTTCCCGTTGAGTTTGTTTCATCTATCCATGTCCTACAACCAATGTGTGCGGGTGGTACCTTCACAAATACGTTCTTACTAGTTCATTCTAGTAGACAGCCCAAAGAAATATCTGTATCTTCTATTGTTCTGGAAGCCTCAAGAGCCTTCCTAACAAGTAAATCATGGAGAATTATCTCATGCCTGTAAGTAAGATTTTTATCATGGATTCTGGGATTGGAGTTATTCATCCATGCATGGTACTTCCACTCAAATTCTGTATTTTTATTATAGATTTTAGTTTAGATTAGTATATTTCTAAATGACCTTTGCCTATATCATTAGTTATGGTTACCCTTATTCACAGCCTCTCCTTTCTTATTGTCTTCTTCAGTCCTCAGCTTTAGACATGACCTGTGCACCTGTCCTTCAAGATCACTGCTACTTGAAACACAGCACCCTGTGACTCAAAGGTGTCATCCAGAAGTGTTTTCCACCATCCTGTTTCAGCGTTAAGTTCAGGGGAATACTGCGTCTCTGATTATTGAACATGGGGACTCCTTGGCGATATGCCCATCACTAACTATAATGATTACTAATGATTTCTAATAGAATACTTTCACTTTTCAACACATAGTTTTTGTCCATTTCTTAAGCTGCAGTAGGTCTTTACAGGATCCTAGAGGAAATAGTGCTTGTTGAGTTTTATCCAGTGGTTTAAGGATTTCATTCATCAGAGCAGGGCTGCGAGCCTACTAGAATGAGTTAGTAAGAAATCATTTGTGAAGATACCACAGACCTTGGTTGTAGGACATGGATAAATGAAACAAACTCAACTGGAAACTTCCTCCCTACTGATTAACTTTCATATTGCCAAAAAGTGCTATGAGGGTAACTTGGGAAAAACTACACATGAGTGGAAACATCTATGTGTGGTCATTCTGTGATACTGAGATCAGAGATGGACTTCTAACATCTTAAACACGCCTCTGATTTTCCTCCATGAGCACCTGGCAGCATACACAGAGAAGTCTGTAGCTGGTATAAATTTTTCCTTCAATATGCAGTTCCTTTGGCTTTCAAACTCTCATATTAGCTCACGCTTCACCTTTAGAACTTCAGTAATTTTTGGTATCATTCTCCTCCATGTTGGATGATATCTCCCAGCTAGAGGTGTAAGACAAGCCAAAATTCACAGCCTGTTTTTCCTGAAACATGTTTTCTTTTCTTTTTGCTTTCAAGGTAACTGTTTTCTATGGTACCTCTTGTAGAATATCTTTTTATGAGTTCTCTCTCTCTCTCTCTCTCTCTCTCTCTCTCTCTCTCTCTCTCTCTCTCATACGTACCTTTATAGTCAGCCCAAAATAGACACTTATTTGACCTTAAAAACAATATTTATTCTCCAAATTGAGGCCATAAGTACAAACATGATGCCCTCACCCTGGCCTCTACTCATCCCGATGATAAAATTTTCCAGGATCCTCCCAGATCCATCTTTGATTTACACACACCTTTAGTGGAAGAACCATATGTTGGCTTCTCTGATCTGAGGCTAGCCTCTGCTATTCACAGCTCACTGTGCTCTGAATTGGGTTGTTTCTTAGCCAGGTGCTCAGTCCAGAAAGCCACTTCCTCCCCTTTCAGTCTCTGGGCTTGCTGGGTGGTGGCTCCAATCTGCAGGTAGCCTTCCTTCTGGTCATACTTTGGCCAATGTGGCAGCCCCTCCCCATTGGGGTTCCTGGGAACAGAATCAAATAGAATTCCTCAAAGCTACTCTGTGATTCCCACTTTTTAAAAATGAGATGTATAGTGATTTCTGGATTATCTGTTCCCACTCATCACAAGGGAGAACATAAAGAGAACCAACATAAGAGCAATGTTTTGGAGTGGCTGGATTTGAGTTTATCACTGAACTTTAGAAACTGCCCTTCTTCCCAGTGAGTACCTGAAGGTCTGATCTTGCCCACCACCCCAGGTCCATCTTTACCACCAGACTCACCCATTTCGAGCAAAGTTGGCCCAGAATTTCATCATCATCTTGCTGAGCTTGATCTCCTCTTCAGAGGTACCCCCTGTGGGGAATAAAAAAAAGGAAAGAGAGGTTTAAAAACCTGTCACTACTAAAAGCATAACTCTTGAGCCTACCAGCAGCAGAACTCAGGGTACTGTTTAGAAAGGCAGAACTTTGGATCTTACTCCATACCTACTTAGTCAACAGTCTACAAAATCCTGGTTAACTGGTGTGCGCTTTCAGACTGAGGATAACTGATCTAGGACTTATCAGTGGAACACAGCCCATCCAATACTAACTGCCTTTATTTCCCATGTTCTTCTGTTTGTTCTTCCTCACCCAGGGTAGGAAGGTCATACCCTGGGGTTTCCTCTACCCCATGATATCATTGGCTCCTAGGTTTTTTCTTAGTCTTGTAAACTTGTGAGTGGTGAAAAATATAAAAATGCAAATGTTCTAAGGACATTAGTGTCTCTGGAAAGCTCCCAGTTAAGCAAGTCAGTCATGTTTTGATATGTTATTTTGAGTATAAAATAAGTTTAAAATAACTATATAATCAAGAAATGGCATTCTTGTCATCAAGTTGTCTACTATGTATGACATACAATATCTCTTTCTACTGTCAATCATCAGGAGTGTGAGAACAGTTATGCTGGGGACATGTTAATATATATCCTCCTTAATGTATATTAGACCAGGAGAAAGGCTGGCCACATCCATGTGTACCTCACCCCCATTATACTGAATTAAAAAATTAAGATCAAGACTGGAGCCCAGACCTCTTATTTCTACCCTCATCCCAGCCAAGAGCCATTACCTCTTAAAAGCGGGGCACCAAAGACAGAGTAGACTTCATCTCCATGGTCTCCGACTACATTCTTGGGTCTCGCATGTGATGAGAAGCTTGGATAGTACTGAAACTCATACATGTAGGTAGGAGCTCCAGTATCTGTGAACACATGGATCATAACAGCTCATGTTATTTGACATAAACCCAAATGGAATCAAGGCTCCTCCTACCTTTGAAGGAAATGCCTGATCATAAACACATCAGAAAATCAGCTTCAGAAAAGCTCCTTGATTTGCTTTTATTTACATATTTAATAAAAATGGTGACTGAGTCTTATGTTAATGCAATTAAAATAAATGTATACAATGAACCTGGTAAATACACTATATAAGTGTTAATGATAATATGCTAGCTTGGTGTTTTTGTGGAAGTTCTAAGATCAGGAGCAAGTGTGTCTCTCACTCTTTTGCTGCTCTTGGGACTCTTTTTCTCCCATTGCTTTGCCTTATCTCGCCTTGGTATGAGGGCTTTTGCCTTGTCTTATGGTATCTTGTTTTGTCCCTGTTTGATTGCTGTCTCTTGGACACCTGCTCTTTTCTGAAGGGAAATGGAGGGGAGTCATCTGGAGGGGAGGGAAGGTGTGGGGGGATCTGAGAGGACTAGAGGGAGGGGAAATTGTGGTCAAGATGTAATATATAAGAGTAGAATCTATCTTTAATAAAGAAGAGGCACAAAGTAAAAGCAGAAAGGACACAAAGCCTTCCCCCATGGAGAACCATCAAGCCACAAAGGAGGGTAGCCAGATAGGTAGAAACAAATTGAGTACTTGTGAAACAACAACAGCAAATCCTAAGAAAATAGCAATATTGAGTATTTGCATATCAATAATTTCCTCAAATATAAATAGATTATACTCTCCTAAGAAAGGCAGAGTCTTTTCTCACTTTTATAGCCGTAGATCTTCTGAAGGTAAAGAAACAGGAAGGATATTATACACACATAGAAACTAGCAGAGAAGAGAGGTAGCTATGGTTATATGAGATGATATATACACCCAACATCAGAGCATCTTAATATATAGAACATACATCAAATGATCTTAGGGAAAATAAAGATTGCATACAATAACAGGATGGGACTTCAATATCTCCACCCTTAAAAAAAATGGTCACATCATTTACATAGAAAATTGATAAGGAAATAGCTCTGAGACAAAACATGCGAATATTCCAATAAAAAATAAGCAGAATTGCAACCAATGTTAACAGAAGACTTGTTCTTTTTAAACTTCCACAGAACGTTCTTCAGAAAAACATTTCCTGTGAAGGCAGAAGAAAAATTCTTCATAAAAGTTAACAAGAATGAGCCGGGTGGTGGTGGCGTACGCCTTTAATCCCAGCACTCGGGAGGCAGAGCCAGGAGGATCTCTGTGAGTTCGAGGCCAGCCTGGGCTACCAAGTGAGTTCCAGGAAAGGCACAAAGCTACACAGAGAAACCCTGTCTCGAAAAAACCAAAAAAAAAAAAAAAAAAAAAAGTTAACAAGAATGAAATTGTAGCAAGTATGTTTTTTTCTGAAAAAACTAGAGAAAACCAAAATCAATTGCATTAGAATTTTTTTAAATTATACAAGTTAAAATACTTGTGGACAACAAATACATTAATAAATAAATTAAAAACTACAGTATAATGAAGACAATTGGAACACAGCATAATGGAAACTCATGTCTAAAACTAAAGCAGCTGTAAGAGAAAAACTAAAAGCAACAAACAACTACAGATCAAAACATACAAAGTGTTCAAAGAAACAGTGAAAGGTTATACCAAAAGAAACTCCACAAACAAACTAAGCCAAAAGTCAGAGAAATTGGCAAATAAAGAGCAGATCAGAAATAAACTTAAAACGATTTGGGAAATATCTTACCAACAGAATGCTGGCCTAGTGTATTAGAGGACCTAGGTACAACCCCCTGCAACACACACACACACACACACACACACACACACACACACACGAGAGAGAGAGAGAGAGAGAGAGAGAGAGAGAGAGAGAGAGAGAGAAAGAGGCAGAGATAGACAAAGACATATAGATAGACAGAGACAGAAAGGAGAGAGATTTATGAAACTATAAAAATGTACAGAAGGTTACCTGCTTTTGCTTCCTGGTGCACCAGAAGAGGCCAGGGTAGAGTTCAAGGATCTGAGGCAAGTGCCAGGAAAGGACTTACAACCTTCCCTCCCCTATACGCCGGAACCACAAGAACGTTAAGCTTGCAGAGACAATGGCTCTCTAATCACCTTTCCTGAACACAGCACCCCATGAAGACTGCTAGAGAAATCCCATTCAAAATCCAAGCGACATTCTTTACCAAAACAGACAAAGCAATCTTTTTTTTTTGTTGTTGTTGTTGAAAATCTGTCTTCCTTTATTTTTTTTTAATTTATTTTAATTTATTTTGCAATACAATTCAGTTCTACATATCAGCCACGGATTCCCTTGTTCTCCCCCTTCCCGTCCCCCTCACCTTCCCCCCAACCCCCCCCCCCCCCATTCCCATCTCCTCCAGGGCAAAGCCTTCCCCACAGACTGAGGTCAACCTGGTAGACTCAGTCCAGGTAGGTCTAGTTCCCTCCTCCCAGGCCGAGCCAAACAATCCTACATAGGCCCCAGACAAAGCAATCTTAACATTCATACTGAAGCACAGGAGACCCTGGATAGCCAAAGCAATACTGAGCAGTAGGAATACTGCTCCTGGAGGTATCACCATATCTGATTTCAAGTTATACTTCGGAGCCATAGGATTAAAACCAGGATGGTATTGGCACAAGCAGAAACGCATAGGTGAATATGATAGAATAGAGGACCCAAATACACTACAATGCAACTACAACCACCTGATTTTACAAAAATGCCAAAAATACACATTAGGCAAGAGACAGCATCTTAACGCTAGGAAAAAAGATACCTCTATGTAGAAGAATGAAACTCAGCTCTTCTTTCTCAACTTGCACAAAACCAACTCCCAATGGATGGAGGACTTCAGCATAAGCCCTGAAACTGTGAAACTGCTAGAGGAAAAATTAGGGTGTATATGTCAAGATACATGTACAGGATTTTCTGTATAGGATTGTGATTGTTGAGAGAATAAACCTAGTAATCAGCAAATGGAACTAAATAAAATTAAACAAGATTCTGTACAGCAAAGGAAACTCAGTCAACTGAGTTTCAAGCAGACTATATGATGAAGGAAACTCTGCCATTTATAATTGATAAAGGATTAGTACCTAGAACAGACAAAGAATCCAAGAAACTAAAGACCAAGAAAATAAACAATGTGAAAAATAGGCCATGGAAATGAATAGAGAGATCTCAAAATGAGAAGTACAAATGGCTAAAAACATTTTCTACAATGGTCAACATTATTAGCATCAGGAAAAGTCAAATTCAAATTCAAGTTGTTTTGAGATTCCCTCTTGCCACAATCAGAATGATTGTCATCAAAAAAGAAAACAAACACCCCCCCCAAATAAATGACAATAAATGCTGGTGAAAATGTAGGGAAAAGCAACACTTGTCTATTGTTGGTGGGAGTGTAAATTGATTCAGCCACCATGGGAATTGGTGTGAAGGGTACTCGAAACGCTAAAACTAGAACTACCATGTGACCTTCCTGGATATATACATCCAAAGGACTCTATAGCCTCCTCTAGAGATATTTGCACATCCACATTCATTGCTGGTCTGTTCCTAATTACTAGAAATGGGATCAGTCTAGACATCCATCAACTTAAGAATGGATAATGAAAATGTAGTACATCACACAAGGGGCTTGTATTCAGCTATAAAGGAAGTTAAATTATCAAATTTGCAGGAAAATGAGTGAAACTGGAAAATATTAGACCAAATGAAATACCTCAGCTTTAGACAGATAAATGCTATGAGTTCTCTCTTGTATGTGGATCCTAGTTTCCTAATTCTAGAGCTTTTTTACATTTAGGAGGGTCTATGTAAGTCAGGAAGCTTTAAAAGGCACAGAGAGGTTAAGGAGAAATATGTTAAGGAGTTAGGAGATACTAGAACAGATTACATGAAAAAAAAGAGTGGAATGTTGAAGGTTAAAAGTTTAAGGAGAGATGAGAGGAAGCAGCGATGGGGAAGGGAGAGGGGTGAGTGACAGCTGGTTAATCAAAGTTAAGGATGTATGGAAAACCCTTAAGAAAGCCACTGCTTTGAAACGAATTTGAAAATGTAATATCTTTTAAAAAGGAGTTTGAACACTACATGAGTGAACAATACATCCCTCAGAAGATATGAGTTACTAAATAAAAATTATAGTGCCAGGAATGGGATGCTATCCTATGATTTCTTGGTCAGAGAAGCCCTAGAGTACCCCCACCGCCCCCAGACACACCACAAACAACAAAGGTTATTACCCTTTTACTTTGTGGCCCAGCAAAACTAGATGTGAGGAATCCTTTGCTGATTGTATAACACATTTTGGTTGTAGGACATAGAGAAATCAAGCTGGAACTGACTTGAAAACATTCACCTTGCTGGTTAGTTTATATATTGCTGGAAGGTGCTAGGTAGGCTGCCGGAGGGAGAGGGAGTCATTAATGGTATTACCTAGCAGTGAGCACTGAATGCTACGATATTGGTCTGCCAGGAAGATGTGTTTGATGGTGCAATGGTGGTTGTAGGGCTATGGAGCTTTCTGATTGGACTTGAGGCTTGTTCCCCAAGGGAGAGAATTCCTTTCTGGTACTATTTATCTGGTCAAAAGACCATGGATGAGGAAATCATGGGACTTGGGAGAGAACTTATTACCATTTTTTTCTCATTTTTTTCTAAATGGGCATTTTGTCAAATTATCTTCCAAATATTTATGTTTATATTCATAGAGTAGTGCCAGCGTACTCCATAAGCACACTACCACCACCCTGTCCCCAGGCTCAGGAAACTAAGGAAAGGTGGGTAGGAAGATTGTAAGGGCTGGAGGATGAGGAATTACGCTATGAAATGCTGTCTTGTAGACATGGCAAACTTTGCATTTAGGATTCACTGAAACTATGGCTGCTTACACCAGATCTGCTAAAATGATCAGTCAATTAAGGAAAGCTAGGATCAGGAGAAAGAGCCTCCCACAGAAAAGAGATGCCT